GTTACATTCATATAGATCAACGATAATGCCAAGCGACTTCTATTTTGATAGTCGGCAATAATTTCTTTTTGTAATACCCTTAACATCATTTAAATCAGGACATTTTTCAATACCTTTAACCAAAAGCCAATGCATTTTTCTCATTTCAAGACAAACTTCATATCTTTGGACCATGTAAAGTAATTACATTGCATCAAGTTTAGCAATATTATGCATGACATTAACAGTAGCCATATTTGAAATTTTAACAAAAACCACCCCCAATCTCTTAAGTCCTTAAATTAACTTTAAACTTCAAAAGTCTGCACTAAAAATAACTCAGGAGCTGGTGGCCCATAACCAAAATGATGCTAAAGCAAGGTTTAAAGTTTAAAGAAATTAACATTTAGCAGTAGTAGCAATAAAAGCTCCCTGAGATATGTTGTGTGCAGACATTGAAGACAATAAAAGATTTTGAACTTAACCAATTTATTAACAATATAATAAAGAAAATAAAAACACAGAAAATAAATGTCGACAATATCAGAGTCTTAGGAAAAATATAATATAATCATCATTCATCAAACAATATTTTTACCTGGTCTCCAAAACACTGGCATTCTATACAAACAAAAATGTCCTAAACAGTAATTATGCGGCCTAAAAATAAAGCTGGCTACACATTTAATAAGTCCATAATCAATGGTCAAGAAAAACACCTGAAAATTTAAATGAAGTTCTTGAAAGCACTTAAAACAGGCCTAACCCCGTTTGCACAAGGAGTCGCCGCTCACGTATTTTTAATTGCCACCTTTATTGAAGAACATGGATGCCGCCCACGGCAGTCACATGGTAGCCTCTGGAACCAAAGAACTTTATTCTGGAACCATCATCACGCAAACCGGAACCAATGCACTTTAATCACCGGACTGCATGCATTCTTCTGAAGGGCCTGGAAACCGCTCACTCAAGTGCCGGGAAAGCAGGAACTAGAAGGGGTGAGCCAGAGCGACGCGAGATACTTATAGCAGAAGTAGGAATGACGTCATCTCACGGCAACCAATCAGCTATCGGCACGAATCGGCTTTTCAGATGACGTAACATCATGTTTCGTTTTTGCATCTCAATTAGGTTGAAACAGTCCGTTCTCAACGCAAACAGTGGCAGCAAGAAAAAGAAGTAGAAGTAACTACTATATTACATTAAAATAAGGACTAAACTAAATAAACATTTCAAGGAGGAGAGATGATGCAGTAAAAGGTTTAAAAAAAAGCTATATTTTCCAACACTCTGACTGGTCGCCGATATAGGGATGAGATCCTCAGACCTATTGTAGTCCCTTACGCTGCAGCAATCGGAGATGACTTCATTTTAATGGACGATAACTGCAGGCCACATTGTGCTAACCTGGTGGAGGATTTCCTTTTCGAGGAAGGAATCGTACGAATGGAATGGCCAGCGTGTTCTCCAGACATGAATCCAATAGAGCACATTTGGGACGCTCTAGGAAGACGAGTTGCTGGCTGCCAACCAACCTCACAAACTTTCCAAAAACTGGAAAGAGCTCTTCTGGAAGAGTGGGACAGAATACCCTAACTTGTGATTAATAGCCTCATTGACTCCATGCCTCAAAGGTGTTCAACGTTGCAGGCCGTCCGTGGGAAAACCATGTCCCCTACTGAAAATGATTTCCTTTGAAGAAAAAACACCTTTTATTATTTTTTTCTCATATGCACAAATTGTGTTTTTTTCTTTTTGTACACAAATGCGCAATAAAATGCATTTTTTTTCTGCCAAACATGTGTAATTTATTCTCATATAACCTACTACGTCTGTCGACCATGTATCAATCAGCTAAAAAGTTTCCCAGCCACAAGATCCACCTAAAACCGCAATATCCTTTAATTGTTTTGAGCAGTCTATATACATCTATATGCATATTAACGACATAATTACAAAATATTTACATCCAATCGCATCAAAACCCATTGAACTTAATGGTAAATTACCCAATGTTTTGTCACCACATACCCAGTGCTTCAGAGCAGGGTATAGGGGAAATTGCTTAGGGCCACTGCATCTTACTTCCTACCTCCATACTTTAAACGGAGTTCTTTGACGGCTGTCCGATATCGAGATGAAGTCCTAGAACCCATTGTGAGATTGTACGCTGCAGCAGTTGGCCCTACTGTTTTAATGGACAATAACGCATGCCCCCATAGAGCTGACATCGTTGATCACTACCTGGAGAATGAAGGGATTGCGTGTATGGCGTGGCCAGCATATTCGCCCAACCTTAATCCCATTAAAAACTTTGTGATGTTCTCGGCTGTGCTATATCTTCAAGTTTTCCACCTCCAGCCACTCTTATTGAGCTGGAAACTGCTCTAAAAGAAGAATGGTGCTTGCTTAATTCTGCGGTGGCTGACCACCTAATTGAAAGCATGGCCACAAGGTGTAAACTTTGTAAACAGATGAGGGGGGGATCACATACCCTATTAATGTCCTTTTTTTCATTTTATGCTGTTTATTTTCACTTTATACATAATTCTAAAGTTTCCAGTATGTCATTATCTGATAACTTACAAAAATTTAATATTGTTTTCATTTCTGCATATAATTACTGATTTTGTTTTATGCATAAATATATATGATATTTTCCTGCCGAATTTTGTGTCAATCAAAGCAGTATTTGTTGATTTTTTTGCATTTTACATCTTCGTGCTTAACTTCAGGAAGTGAGTGTATTAAGTTAATACACAATATGAAAAACACAGTGTACATTCTAAATGACTGGAAAATGTACTAATAAATATAAAATAATATGTAAATATAAAATTTTCTGAAGGTATCCATATATTAATACTATCATCACCACATTGTTATTGAATCGCTTCAAATCATTATTATATTATTGAATAATTTTTAAAATAAGTTTTTACCAATTCCTAATACAATTTTTTTGATGAATAATGATAATTTCAGTTGATGTTATTAATTGAAAATTGGATAAATATAGTAACGAATTTTGTACATATGTAAATAATTTTAGTGAAATTAAAGTATTTTTCTGCATATTGTAACATGAAATGGTTGAAAGACAATATACTCTGCCAGTAAATAGAAATACAAGGGCAAGTTTATTTAATATTGAGTAAATGGCTATCGAGTTAAATTGGCAAGATATCACAAAGTTAGCGATGGTTTCTGCAAATAACTCTTTTTCACCAAATTTGGCGAGAATTCAACAGAAGTTGCCAAACTTGGCAACAGTTTGGGACATGTCCCTGCATAACTGTAATGGGTATTGTAATCAAATAACTGTCATTGATCTTATACATAACTGTAACTGTATCTGGCCCTCATATGCCTTCCAGTGATTTCAAGAAGTGGAAGGCACTAGAGATTTCTCAGCAGTCGGAAGAAAACTATATAAGACTGGGAAGAGCATCAGTTTCTCAGTAGTAGTTGTTAGTTCAGAAAAGAGTTCAGAGTATTGAGATCTGGGAGAGCTTCATCTTTTAGATGTGCTTTGCATTGCACTGCATTTAACATTCTTAGTAGTATATTTGCAGCAATGTAAGAACACTTACAAGAAGAAGTGACTTAGTCAAAATTCTCTTAGAGAATAAAACACATCTATTCAGAATTTCTATATCTTTAAAGAAAGCTTGTATAAGAAATTTAATGTAAATATGTACAAAGATCTTATTTATATTCCCTTTTAATCATTATTTATACTATCTTTCTACTATTTTGTAAATATAATAACTGGCAAATCGTGCTGTTACAAAAAAAATGGAGTTTCTAGTTTCAAAGACATATTGTACCCCAATTACGTGAAGACTTAATATTAATAAACGTTATATTTTATAACCAATATTTTTCCTTTTCCTCAACTTTGAGCCAGTTCTGTTTTCACACTTTAAAATTCTACATAAGATAGCATCTTTTAGAAGTTTCTTATGCCACCATTTTGGAGCAGACGATCACTCTCCTCATTGGTAATAATTTTTACAGACTGCATCCAATGTTTGGCACCCACACACAGACAACAAAGTATTACAGGCTAGGGCATTTTGAACACATGTTAAAATACTTAATTCTGGTATTGAACACTTTAAACCTTATCGCATACTTTTTCCAAGAACTAAAAAATTTCTGCCTGAATTCTACTTTCCTATGTATGGAACACAGTTTGGTTATCTTCAGAATTTGGTTAGTTTATGTTAAATAGGTCATCTTAAGAATTCATTAAGTTTGCTTTTCAATTTTTGTTTCAAATAGATTTTCAGTTTTTAGGTGTTTAATGCTCAGATTTATAGAAATTCCACATGAAACGTTTTTCATTTACTTGGTATTAAAAGTTTAGTATAGCGTAATCAGAAACTACCCAATTTTTGAGTGTTGTTAAAATGACAATTCGATTTAAAGTATATTTGTTTTTGCTCTTTATTTGTAATTGCTTTTGAATTTTGCACTTTCATATAATGGTTTTAGACCAATTTGTGTTCTTGAATGATCAATTCGGCACAATGTTGTGTCTTATTCTTTTTCCAAGTGTTTCAAAAGCGTGTAGGGAAGATTCTGGTACATTTGAGATTAAATCTTTTGATTTTATACGAGTTCTACGGTTTTTGATCTCAAATGAACCAGGAGAACAAAAAATATTAATTGACTTTTGTGAGGCTTTAATTCATTCTCCCCTGATGAGTTCTGAATTGGACTTTCAGTAAAAGGAAATTAATTTTTTAATTTGTATATTTTCCCTTTCGCATTATTATTTTTCGAGTTTGATCTAATATGAATTCTTGTTTTAATTTTAATTTGTTTAGATATTGTGTAAAACCTCCTATACATGGCTATAATTAATATTGTTCAGGAATTGTCTTGCTTTGATTCCAATTTCATATTAAATTAAATGCTTTAAGTCTCTCTCTCTCTATATATATATATATAATATAATTTCAGGTAATTTGTTGGAAATAATACACAATCAAGATGACAGTGATACACAATATTACACAACTTATTTATCATGTATCACAATATATAAATGAATATATAATATATATTATGCTTACTTTTCTATTAAAATTGGAGGTCGACATAGCAGACAAATACGTTTCCAGTACCAAACAAGCATTAGAACAATGACAGGAAAAAAGATTGTTTTTAATGATACCCAAATTTTTGTAAAACCCCCATTCTGATGAATGAGCTAAGGAAGAAAAAATTAATACAGAGAATTAAGCACAATTAAAACAGTAACACAGCTATTCAAATATCCCCATCTGAGTAGTTTTTATGATTATTACATTAAAGCATTTGATTGTAAAAATAAGAATAACAACAAGGAAAAAGAATAACAATTTAAAGGGTAGAAATGAAACAGCATTACTATACTTACTCAAAAAACACCCACCTGAATATAAGACATTTTAGGATAAATATTAAGAAATAAAAGTGTGACTGAATATCTGATGAGACAATGGTTCTGATTAGAATTTATTTAATTTTGAACAAAATGAAAGGTAAGTTATTTAGTTAACTACAATATTTTACTATGGTAGACAAAGAAAAAATTATGAAAAGTCAGTGTTACATTGTTACCTATTTGTTTTTAGGCATACTAGTGACCAGTATAGTGCATGCATGCTTAGGTTGAAACTGTTCAACAAACAAAGAAACAGTTTTTCACAGACGGTTGAGTATTTCTCATTCAATTAATTCAGTTCTCACTTTGCAAGAAGGCAAAAATACATAAAAACTCAAAATATCTATATTAAAAATTACGAAGTAAATCTTAAACACTTAGTTCCTCGAAAAAATTCCAGAAAGGATTAAGCATGATTTAATTGGCAATAATAAATGAAGGCGTTATCTTTGCTGTTGCGAAGCTAAGTTTCTCTAGATTGGCAACAAATCCACTAGTCTGCTGTTTCAAATGTAAACAATCAATGGCCGCCAAAAAAAAAAAAAAGCTTAGCGGCACTTAAACAACTTTAAAATTGTTGATAGTTCTAAAAATATTGCATACAGATTTACTAAAGACATAAAAATCTTAACCAGAAGATAAAAACAACATAATTCAATCAATTTTAAAGCAAAAAATGTACAATTTACAAACATATAAGAATAAAGAAAGTGAGATCAATGAGCCAGGTAACAGAGTGGATATATATATATATATATATATTTATATATGTTTGGTGCGGCTGATTGCAACCAAAATACGAGGTGCACATCTACATGTTATAGCAGGCCTATATACAAAATTTCAACGTTCTGAGGCTACTTGTTTTTGAGTTATGCGAGATACGTACGTACGTACATACGTTCGTACAGACGCCACGAAAAATTCTCTTCAGAATTAATTTTAAAGCAGTTTTCTAATTTTTTTGGGAGGAAACAAGTCATTTATTCTGTTCTTATGTACAGATATCATGGAAAAACATCATTAAATTGCATTCGATAGCGGTCAAAATGGACATTTTCTTTGAAATATGCTGCATGAAACTTTTTGTGATTACAATACTTCCTTTTTACTTCGTACAAGGAAGTTTTAAAACATTCTAGATACTGGATGCCTGGATTTTGGACTTTATATTGTACATCTCTTATCAGAAAAGTTCCAGGACATTTTTTGTTTTTAAATTTTTGAGTTTGCAGTACTAAAAAAAAGGAACAAATGTTGTTTTTTATGTTACCTGTTCTTACTTGGCATAACCTTAGCCATGTTTCCATGCAAACTTATTAGAGGTCAGGGCTGTGCTTAGCAGCACGCTGTTGGGATTGTTGTCGCATTTATCAAAGTGACACAATGGACTCTGATTATGAGCAAAGAGTGCGATTAAGTTCTGCATTAAGCTTGGGAAAACCCCTACTCAAAAATTACTGCTTGCTTATGAGCTTGCAAGCAACACAGTTGAAGATTTCCCTGCTTGCTTCCAAGTCCTCCAGAAATGTTGGCAGTTATGTATAGATAGCCAATGGCACAAGGAAAGCAGCTAGAATCATTACTTGGTAAATGCAATTTTCTAATTTTATGACCTTTGTCCTGGAACTTTTCTGACAAAGGATTTATATGATAATTATCAGTCTGGCTTATTTAGTGTTTAAACAGTGTATATATACTATATAGTATAGGGCTAGCATAAATGATTTTGTTTTGAAAAGGCTGTATATTCAAAAGCATTTCATATACACACATATGAGAGGCATATGAAAAAACTGCAAACTCACCAAGTTTATAACATCTCTACAAATATTCAGTATGGGGCCTTTTGGTGATATGGCACATGCCCAGACGATAATTGAGCTCATTCGATACATTTTGTAGCATTGTTGTCCAGATGTTCGTTCTGAAAATTTACCAGATGTTCGGAATACCGAAAAAAAAAAAAAAAAAACGTGTGGAAGATTTCAACTGTACTGTGTGTAGCTCCTGCAGCTATTAAAGCCGGAGGATTATGACTGTTGATTAGATTTTTGCATCAACATGCAGAAATTGGAGGATAAAGATTTAACCACCAAGTTGATATTCAGTGATGAAGCAACATTCCACTTATCCAGGAAACTTGGTGAAATAGTGAAAAAAACTTGGTGAGTCTAAGGTTCTTTTCATATATTTTTCATGAGCATATGCACAATACTTTTGAAAATATAGCCTTTACAAAATGATTGACTCATTCATGCTAGCCTGGTATGATAAATAAACTTCTTCCTCTCATTCTGCAATTTTATTTACCAACTCAATTATAAAACCCTAGCAAATTTTAGAACCAAAAATACAAGGAAAAAACACAAACAAGGGGGTGTCTTTTATTTGAGTATACAGAGTATTTGCTAACATGTAAGAGCTTATCTAGCATAATCTTCATTTAATTTGTAAAGTCCATTAGGGATTTTTTTATTTTGCAGCAAAAGATGAAAAATGAGCAATGTCCTTGCCGGGATTTGTGCTCTCGATCTTCAGACTGCTAGATAGAAAAAGTATTTTAAATTCACTCCATGAAAGCATGCAGTATGAAGGGAGAAAATTCCTTACAAACTAACCTTTAAAAAAAAGGGGGGATAAAATCTCTCTATTGATGATTTCATTCAAGATTTGATTCATTATGTGATGGGTTACAATTGCAATGGATTATTTAATTAAAACAAAAAAATAATGAAAAATAAGGAAAGTGAGAGGGCATGGATACACATACACAAGGAAAATTTTTACTTCAGGATACAAAATGGCTCTTTAGCAATTCCTCATAATGTTCATGATGATCGAGTTGAATGCGCTCATTCAATATAATATGGCTGCTCCACAGGTAACTTATATCATGGAAAAGCAGTATTATTCCTATTTTGATTGTTGAAAAGTGTGAAATCTTTCAAAAATTACAGAAAAATGCAGTTTCAGTATGAAAATGATTATATAAGCACAGGAATAATGTACAAATAAAAGGGAAAAAATAAAAAAAGAAGATAAAACATAAGCGATGAATACTAGAATTGGAGATCAGTTAGCATGACAGACGACATAATGAAACAATTCAGGAGGCAATCCGTTGACTACAGTTTCACAATTGACGAAATCATCCGCAAAGAATCTAACATCAGCCACAATTCTATTAATGTCCATAATGACCGCTGTAAGAAAGCAGATGGATCCCGAAGTAGCTGTGAGGTGATTATAAATAAGTATGTCTAAATATATGCATCAGAAGATATTTGTCAGACTGTTACATTTGTATGTTCAATAGAGGGGGGAAAAATCTTTCTCTGAGTGGTTACAGTTATCAATTTCCAACGATTTGTGACAGTTATGAACCTGGCTATACACATATGAAATGGAGAATAGCACACAATTTATGCCATGGAAGTACCAGAATTTTCAAGTCATGAAAAAGTTCAAGGCACAGATTACTATTGGAAAAGTCATGCCAATTATTTTTAGGATGCTATAGCTCTATGCTGGCATGATTCTGGGAAAATTATTCAACAGGCTACTGTTTTATGCAGTAACATGCTAAAAAGCAAGCTGAAGCCAGTGATATTATCAGAACATTCAGGACTATTCTTAAAGTGAGTATAATTATCACAACAGGGTCTATCTAACTTTGAATGCTCGTACAGTATGATCTGAAATATATTGAGCATTGTAATATCTTGTTATTTAATAAATAAATATAATTATTGTTGAAGTGGCAACGCCATATTTGTATCAAACCGTTACTCAGCAACGAGAGATAGATATTGTTTTAAAAAAGATTTTGTATTCTGAAGATTTTGCCAGCTAGGAGTAGTATTAAAATTTTGCCACTTAAGAATTGTATAAAATTTGTCTATCACCGAGAAATAGAAATAAAATTTATGTTCTACTAAGAAGATTGTCTGTTTTGTAAATTACTGCAAAATACATCACAGTCTTAATAAATTGGAGGTTTCCACCGAGATACTGGAAATTAGGAGTGCAATTATCAATTTCGATGGTGCTGGTCTCCTAATCCCAGAAATTTACTGAATTTTTTAGAACAAGTTTGCTAATACCAATTGCCAAGTTTGTTTATTTCAAGGAGAAATGGATGTAAGAAGTCTGCCGTTTTAAAGCCAGATTTGAAGCGGATCATTCAAAGGTTATCTTCTGTGCTTCTGTAACTTGTGTCCGAGCAAAAACTGTCAAAAATAGGATATTGCTGATCTCTGAAGATAAGATTAACTTTTGGTTTTCTTAAAAAAGCTTTTATTGAATTTTAATACTTTGTTTCAGAATTATAGTTTATCGTGTAAGATTTTGTTTAAAATAATTGACACTAAAAATATTCAGCTTAAATTTATAATTGATATCGGTGGTAAAGAAGTATTTTAGAATTATTATTTATGCTTTACTTTTACTTGTATTGAATTTTTATGTTAATAATTGATATGTGGAAGCCATTCCGGCGTTAAAAAAAAAAAAAAAAAAAAAAAAAAAAAAGGAACTGCTAGCTGAATTTTGAATTTGTTGCCAAGCAGGCGCGTGGAAAATAAGTAGCAACGTCAAACTGATGTAGTGTGATTTGATTATACTGCAGAATTGGCAAACGTTTTTTTCTTAGTTCTCGCCATCCAGGCGTGTGGTAGATAGTAACGTCATCCCGACATATTACAGATTGTATATTCTAAAAGTTGTATTGCCAAACTGGCAAAAATTGTTTTTGTTATCGCCAACCAGGCGTGGAGATAGGTAGTAAAATCGTCAAACTTACGTTGGTAAAATTCCATTGTATTGCCTAACTGGCAAAGGTGTTTATATAGTTATAGCTAACGAGGCTTGTGAATAGTGAGTTAAAACGTCAACCTGACGTAGTATTAAATTATTTTGTGCCAACCTGGCAAAGTTGTTTAAATAATTCTCTCCAATTGGTTAGTGTGAATTTCGTATTTGAGAAATTAAGTCTCGCCAGAAATTCTATATTTTTAATACAAGTACGAGCTTTTAGATTGAATTTCAAAAGGAAGCCTATTAAAAGTAACTTTGTCAAATGTCATTCTTAGCTAGGAGTAAAAAACAGGATTTAAAAGTACTAGCAGAGAGAGTTAGGTTTAACCGTGTGAAACCTGAATTTAAGATTGCTCAATTGCATAAACTGATTACGGAAAGTCCCGATTATGATGGAGGTTTACTCGAGAACTACTGGCTGCAATTAGAGAAGAAAGGGAACGAAAAGAAGAATGCGAAAGAGAACGAAAGAAAAAGAGAAAGGAACGCGAAAGAGAGAAAGAGAAAGAACGAAAAGAAGAAAGAGAAGAAAGAGAAAAAGAACACGAAAGAGAAGAAAGAGAAAAAGAACACGAAAGAGAAAGAAGAGAAGAACGCGAAAGAATAGAAGAACGCGAAAGAGAAGAAAGAAAAGAAGAGCTTGAAAGAGAAGAGCGAATTAGAGCCTTTGAGCTACAGAAACTTCAACTGGAAGCAATGGCTGCCACAGCACAGCCGGTAGAAACTACGCAGTTACCTGAGCAGCCTTTAAAAATCAGAATTCACGATGTCATGCCACGTTTTAACCCTAAAGAAGATGAAATAAGTTTATTTCTGGTGTTATTTGAGCGTCAAGGTAAAATAATGAATATACCTGCTGAAAGTCAAGTGACTCAACTTATTTCATTGCTGCCTCCCGACATTGTTCAGCTTATTGTTAGAGAACCAGAAGAGGACGCGAAAAAGTATGAATATGTAAAAACTTTACTGTTACAACGATTTAAATTAAGTGCGGAAAAATTTCGACAACTATTTAATAAACACCAAAAATCTACTGAAAGTACTTGGTATGATTTCTACTATGAATTAAAGAATTATTTAGAAGGATGGTTTAACGGATTAAACATTAAAACTTTTGAACAGCTAAAAGATCTCATACTGGTTGATCAAATAAAAAAGCGTACCTCTCCTGATTTCAAAGAACATTTTATGGATCAATGGACAACCATCATTTCACTTACTGAAATAGTTAAGAAAATTGAAGATTTTGAAGATATGAGGAAAACAATAAAACCAAAATTTTCTGTCAATCAGACTGAGAAAATTAACAAAGGATCATTTAAACCGCGTTATGATAACTTTGTGAAAAAATAGAGCATCCGTCTCATTTTAAGCATTCTGATAAATGGGACGATTCAAAATACCACAAAGATCACCGACAAGGAAGTCAATTTCAAAACAAGAACCAAGAAAATTTATATGACAAAAGGTATCGACCACGTTGTTTCGAGTGTGGATCATACGAACATTCTAAGCCTCAGTGTCCTCGCTTAAAACCAAATGAAAAGATAAATTGCGTATCTTCGAATGATGATTTGTTAGAGACATATACAATTAACGGTTTAGTTAATGAGCACGAAATGCCTATTCTTCGAGACACAGGAACCACTGTTGATGTTATTTCTCGGAAATACATAGATAAAGCAAAAATGACTGGAGAACATGTCTGGGTACAATATCTTTTAAATGACCATTTAGGGTGTCTACGTTAACGGAAGTTGAAATTAATTGCGAACTTGGTCATATAAAGACAAAGGCAGCTGTTGTTACAAATGAGCAATCTAGCCATAGAATTTGTAGAAAAATTTGGAATAAAAGTAACTAGAAGCTCAGTACACCATCTGCAGAGCAACTCTGTTGAAAGATTTCACCGAACAATCAAATGAATTTTAAAAGTTTTATGTATCGAAGCAGCCCCTGAGTGGGAGAAGCAAGTTCCCGCAGCTCTATTTGCTTTAAGAACAATAATGCACGAGAGTACGGGATTTACACCTGCAGAATTAGTATATGGTCGAAATCTTAGAACACCTGTAACATTATTATATGAACAATGGATGAATCCTGAAGACGAAGGAAATAATGTTGTTGAATACGTTTTTCAATTGATAAATCGGTTAAAAAGATGCAAAGATAAAATGCTGGAAATGCAAACCAAAAGAAAGGTGTGGTACGATCGTAAAGCTATAAAATAATTACTGCAAAATACATTACAGCGTGTTGAAGCTTTCCCCATTAAATCTAAACTTGATTTAATAGGGAAAGCTTCAACACGCTGTAATGTATTTTGCAGTAATTTACAAAACAGACAATCTTCTTAGTAGAACTAAGAAGATTGTGTATGGTGTGATCAAATTTTCAGGTCTTTGGACTTATTTTAATTAAGGGTGTGTTTAAGAGTTTTTGTTATACGCTTATTACAATTAAACTAAAATAATAGAATGCAAGCTAAAAAGATTAAATTTCTTTCAAAAAATTTATTTCTACAGATATAAAAACTGTATAATATAAGAAGCGTAATGATACAGATGGAATAAAATTTACTTTAGAAAACAATTAAGGATCTAGTTATACAGTTTTGAATTAAAATTTTATATATTACTATGCACAGTAGAACCTTGGCAAACTTTCGAAGGACCATTCTAAGAACTATTTTTGGTGCTTTTTTGGTGAATGTATGGCATAATTTCAATATGAATGGTGGATTTGACCAGTATTTCTTGTGTTGCTTTTTGTTCACTTCATTTCTGTTTTCTCCCCTCAGTTTCAATTTACTTTCATTGTTTATTTGGCCAGCCGCCTAGGGAATTGCACTTATTTCTTCGAGTTCTTTATCATCGTGAATTATTAATTTTGAGAAATAGTTATCTTTCTCTCATCATATTTTGCTGCCACCAACGATGTCATTTAATAAAAAGAAATGTTATCAATACAATTTCACGTACTTGAAGTTTGGATTTGTTTCTTTGCCGTCAAACTTGCAACTGCCCATGTGTTTACTTTGTAACAAAGTGTTATCTAATGAGGCCATAAAACCATCTCGTTTGCAGAAACATCTGCAAAAAATTCATCCTGACAAAGAACATAAAAATTTGTCGTTTTTCACGAACATGAGGGACAAGCTCTTGAAAGCACCATATGTCTCAGGCTTAATAGTAGCGTCATCAAAACAATGCAACGATGGTATGATAACCTCTTATAATATATCAAAATTAATTGTTAAATTGGGAGGAAGCTCATACCATTGGTGAAGAGTTGATACTGCCAGCTCTCGAGGAAGTTTTAGAAAAGGTTTTACACCCTCCAGTTGCATCTAATATTATAACTCATCGAATTTTCTCTTCAAGTTGATGAAGCAACCTTGCCAAGTAATAACGAGGGTTAACTATTCAACTACGTACAGTTTGCGAAGGAAGGAAAAATTATTCAAGAGATGCTGTTTGCAAAAAGCTTGATTTCAGATACTAAAAGTGAATCTGTTTTTAATACTGTCAAAGAGTATTTTAAAGAGAAAAATATTCCTCTTGTGAACATTAATGTTTGTTGCCACCAATGGAGCACCTGTAATGGTGGTTCATTGCCCTTTTGAAGAAAGAGATACCACGTATTTTAGCTGTTCACTGCGTGATTTATAGGCAGAATTTAGTTGCAAAAAACCTCAGTGACCATTTGCATCATTTGTTACAATATATCATCCCTGCTGTGAACCAAATGTGCAGTAATGCTCTCAACAATCGATTATTCGGACTCTTAACAATTGATTATTCGGGTGAAATACATGTTTACAGAAAACACCTTGAGCAACTTTCAACTAATGAAACTTTGAAAGCCAGCTTCCAGAATGGTGATCGTCTCAAAGAATTTTGGGTTCAAAGTAGCATCAGTCGTCTCTACCCAGGATTGTGGACTATTGTAAAAAAATTTTTAATTGCATTCTCTTCCTCCTACCTTGTCAAGCAAGCATATAAATTACCTTCAAGAGCAAAACTATTGAGTTAAACAAATAAATTTGGTGTGTAAGTCTACTGGAAAAAAAAAATTACTTAAAATTGTTGCCATTTATAATTTAGGAACCCCCTTTCCCATACTCTAAATTACAGGATTTACACATGGGGGCGTTGAAAAATTTTTTGCTCCTTGGGGGGAGGGAGCAGCAGCATTAAAAGGGTTGAGAATCACTGGCGTAAATGATATAACTTCACACTCTACAAAATTTATAAAGATGAGGATATTATTAAATCCATAAAATTAAGTAGAATGAGATGGGCAGGTCACTTCCTGTGAATACATGCAGAGAGAGAGAGAAGGATTCTAAAGGTCTTTAATGAAACTCCTGTTTGTGGAAGATCAAAAGGAAGACCTAAGAAAAGATGAAGAAACTGCCTGGATGAGGATTTTGTCATTCTAAAAATTATGAACAGGAGGTCAGTTGCTGAACAAAAGGTGGAATGGGAAAGGCTTCTGAGAAAGATCAAGGCCCACAAAGGGTTGTCATGCCAATGCTGCTGATGATGTACGATAGATTAAAAAAAAAAGGAAACATAATATACAAAATTTAACATACAGAATATTTAATTCAGAAGAAATATACCATTGAAAAATAAGCTTAACAAAAATACACTCTTTTCACGAATTAAAAACATAATAAAATTACTAGTCAGCAAAGTTGGCAAAACTGGACTTAAATTTTGATCATATGTTGTTTGATGGTTTGTTTGAAATAATCTAGTATAATGCAACATTTAAAAGGAAAACATTGCATATATTTAAATTTGATACTTACTACGATCCATATATCATCTATATGACCAATACCATCATTTAAGGGTGTTCTACCAGTAAGATCCGTGGGTAAACGAAGATTAACTAAATAATAATCATGATGCAAACTGCCAAGCTCAAAAAGAGGCAAAAGATCGCAATTATAATGATAACCATCCACTTTCTGAAAGTAGAAAAAAGTATTCATATTTTTCATAATATATTTTTAACTCTAAATATAAGCAGAAAAAAAAAGATAACATATATTGCAATCAATGGTATATTATAAAGACCATTAACGACTGTAATTGTCACAAACATCCAAATAAAAAATTCTTTCAAACACCCTCTCCAAAAATTCCACAGCACTAGCAACTACTTATGACAGAAATTTATTTTTATACACCTTAAACATTAAGAAAGTTCTCTATTTAGATGCAGATTACTTTTTCAGGTACTTGCATATCAATACAACCAGCTTAACAAACGTCAAATTTTCAAAACACATTAAATTCAGAAACCCATACCAATTCTTCGGTTTTTAATCATTTGATGGTCATCAATGAGCTCAGCTCACATTCCAGTTATGCATCGCAGTGGGTGCAAACAAACACAGGTCACATTACAAATTTACAACTGACAGACATCACATTTATTTCAAAAGAAATAACATTTTAATGTCAGAATCATCGAAGGGTTAGCAAGCAATGCCACCAAATTCGTGTGTCTTTTTTTTATTGTATTCCAAGTTTCAGCAGTTTTTATATACAAATTGTGATACATTTTTGTTCTTTGATGCCTGGGCTGTGGAGTCAGAATCGGACAGATTTGGGGGTAAAAGGAGTCAGAGCTGGAGTCACTAAAAACAAGTTGACTCCAGTTTTTGTTGGACAATTTGAAATGAAATTAAAATGAATTGAAAAAAAATTAATGACAACCTGAGGTATTTTTATTTATGGACTATATACATTAATAAATAGTTATTTTCTAGTTTACTGACATATTAATAAATAAATATAAGGGAGGAGGATGAATGTGATATTTTCCATTAGTAATTAAACAAATTCTTAGTTACAAATCTGACAGGTAAATTTAGGTAAGCAGCAATAGCAGAAAGAACTCCCAAAATTGATGCCACTCTTAGGAAGCGAGCCGGAAAAGGAGCAATTATTGATCATGCAACATGATAAGGAAGTACATATTTGATGAAAAAGAGGTTGTTAGAATTAAGAACTTTTTTAGAAGATGTAAATAACCCTAATGTTTCACTAACAGAAAGATTGTGGAATGATGTTGCAGAATTTGAAACTCTTCTTTCTACACCGTATATAGCCACAAAAAAGCTGCTATCTGAAGAATTGACAGGAGGCGAGAATGGAAGAATGGGATGTTTATTCTTTCTAAAATGGAGGGTTTATTGCAAAAGGAATCATTTCTTCAATGAAGAAAAGATAAACTAGTTTATTAGACAATGAGATCTTGCTGGGTTCAATATGAGATCTGAATTTTCTTGGATGACGAACAAATTATAAAGGCAAAGAACCTATGAACTTTCATTAAGAATGAAAGTATTCTCAGAACAACTGGAGAATTCAAATCAGGACAGTCAAACTACAGACATTGCAATTGAGCCTCTATTATCCTCTTCAAATGATGAATTAGATTTTGAGAAATGTTTTTGGATAATATTGAAAGGGCTAAGGCAATGCGGATGAAAATAAAGAACCAAGAGCCTTTAGATATAAAAATGAAAAAATACAAACAAGATTTTTACATGGCCTATAAAGAAATAGAGAAATATGATTGTGCTTGCAAGACACCTCTTTTAGAACTGATAAAAATCCATCCTGAAAAGTTAAAAGAAGTAGACCTAACAGTAATAGCTCTTCCTCCTACTCAAGTTAGTGTGGAAAGATTCTTCTCAGTTCTGAAGTTTATGAAATCAGATCTATGGCCCTCCAACAAGAAGATCTTACCAAAGCTATAGTGTTTCTTAGAAATAACTAATGCCAGTTTTTCTATTTCATAATAAATGCTAATTAATATAAGTAATTTGCTATGCTATCAATTTTTTCCTGTAGCATAGCATCTTTCATATTAAAAAAATAAGCTGTAATGCACGTGTATATATATATTACATACATATACATAATATATTATATATATACATACATATATATATATACATATATATATAATATATATAATATATTATATATATGAGGGAGTCGGAGTCTTTAAAATTCCAGGAGACGGAGTCGGTCATTTTCCCTAGCAACTCCACAGCCCTGTTTGATGCACTTGCGGAATTTTCCTGGGATAGAAATAATTGAAGTAAAATGTCTACAAGAATATAATAGTTGGCCCCCAAACTCTTAAAGGTAAGAAATGTCTTTAATCTATTCTTAAAGTCATCAGCATAAATTCCACCAGAACAAAACAAACAAAAAAGGAACTGCTTGTAGGTAGGTTTATTGACCAGTTTTCACAATCAATACCATATGGAAATGTAAAATATATATGTATAAATAAATAAACTTCTCAATTACAAGTTATCATTCTTTTCTTCTATAAAGGATCCTCAAATTATGCCAAGGTGGTTGTACTAATATATAACCTTTTTCATTATTTATTATGATAAAATGTAACAAAATGCATACGATAGCTTTCTTTTAAAATTTAAGACCAATTCATATTGTTCTTAAATATTGCACATTTAAAAATTATATTTTTTTTACATACAAAGACAAAAGAGTATGCAACTTTCCCAAATATTTATTGTCATCATGTTCTACACTCTTTTAATATTTTTTCTGCCATTATTAGGGCTATTATCCCAATACAGCATTAAGGTTCTGTTCTTTTCTCACAAAAATTTCCTAGCCAATGCTGAACTTGACCTTTCCTTCTATCATTAAAACACTATCTAGCAAGGAACACCTGCAAATGCAAAAGAAAAAGCTAAAACTCTCTTTATGTGAAGTAGGACTGTAGGAAGGATGATCTATTCCTTCTCAGCAAAATAATTTAATGAATACTTGAGTTGAAGTAATGATGTCCAGCCAAGTATCACCTTGATGAATCTTAATGAACATTCTATAAGACTTTCAGATACGTTTTCCCTTAAGCCAAAAATTTTATACCGATCCTAAACACTGTGCAAATGAATTTTGAGGTTGAAATTACTCAATTTACTCTATTCCATTTAAAGTGAGAGATGCTGGTAAAACACTTTTTGAACATTTGTTAAACTGGAAGAGTAACCGATTGGTTGCTAACTAAACCTCTAATGTTACATACAAAATACATTATTTTCAAAATAAAGAGTACACTTACTATTGTATAGGAATTTCCATGCTTCTCCCCCTCCCCCAATGTATAATGTAATGCAAATATGAGCTGGTTTTCCTTTAAAAAGTCATCCAAAAAGGCATTCCTTCTCTTAAGCAAGATAGCTTTTGTGTGCTTTTCTGTTAACAATAATCAGTACTAGTTCCAAGTATGGCAAAGCACTATTCAGATGGTATCAGCTAAATTGCTCTCAAAAGTGACAAAAATTATATTTTACTGTGAATTATTAATAGGTTTGATTTATATGAGACACTAGTCAATCATGGAGGCAGCAAAAATGATGAAGCTGGAGAGAGATCTAGACAGGTAATAGGGATTTAATTTCTATAATAGATGCCGACATTGAAAACATGTAGCAGACTATTTTCAAGTAGTTAATGACACATATTTAAATGAATCTTTCTGAAAAAAGTTTAAAAAAATCTCCATATAATACACTAGTATATCTATAACTGAAGTTCTTTAATTTTTCACAATATTTCTGAGATACTGCTAGAATGGCTTTTCATAAACAAATACCAGATATCACATTTTATAAAATTTCTACCTCTAAGAGAAAATATCCAATGTTAATGTAATTGGAACTAAATATTATATATCTTAATGTCATTAGATCCAGAAATTTATAGCTAGTAAGAAAAATTTTTTATATTAAAGTACTTTTAAATAAAATAATTCTACACTTTGCAATACACTAAAAGAAGAAAAATCATACATAGTTATCTAAAAATAGACTAATCTTCCTTAAGCACTTACAGCAAGTTGAATAATAGTGTCAATGAATTATTGGTTCTATGCTACTTAGATAATCATCTGTAAATTCATAAACTACAATTATGTTACATTGGATGATTTTGGATTCATAGACCATAAATTCATTTCTACTCTGTCTCGCAAATACCTCAAAGAGAATCATGATGGAATTATAGATACTCATACCAGTAAATTAAAACTGTGAAAAATTCCTTTACCCCAGTACCAATTTGTACTCATGTCACACAATGACACATTGACTATCCCAATTTTTGCCAGCTGACTTCTAGATTTCTGCATATGACCAGTTTGAACATCCTGTTAGTGAGCACTATTGGCTCACAATAGGTTTTTGTCCATTATCAAGGAGTGTCTGCAAAAATGAGAGTACATTTCCTCCCTTCTTTGAGGGACCATAGATTTAGGAACTGTCAATGGAGAGTGAATACCATATTCTCTCATGCATAAGCCCCACCTTTTTCACAAAAAAGCAGATGAAAATCAGGGGTGCGACTTATACATGCAAATGATTAGAAATAGGTACATACAAACATGTGGCAACAGAACAGCACATATTTATCAATTGAGTATAAAACCCCTTGTTGTTGGTTGAACATTACATAGTATAAAACTAGTTAGGGTTACAGGTCTTGGTAACATGTTATGGGATACAGATACAAGCGACATTGATACTAGTAGTGCAGGAAACTACTATATTTATACCAACAGTAACACCAAATAACAGGTGCTAAACACAGAAACATTTTCCATTTGCCCAATGATAAAAATTTTATCTCAGTGTGTAGAAAGTATAGTTTTTATTTTAGCTGCTTCTACACCCCCAAATGGGGAAGAAAAAAAAAATTATTGTAGATGATGAGCAGGTATCCGTGGCTTATACTCAGAATTTTTTTTAAAAATTAGAAGAAAAAATTAAGGGTGCGGCTTATACTGTGAGAATACAGCATTAATGAAAATTTGACTACATGAAAATGACATGATATACTCTTAAATTTGGAAGAAAAAAAAAAAAAAAAGATTCTATATAATCTCTAATACTGCACAATCCATCTATCTCGCACTACTTAATCATGCAGCATTTGCACTGCAAGTTACTGTGACTGATATTTAAAGCATCAACAAATATCTGCAACATGATCAGTATACATAAAATGACATTTTAAAGCAATGGAATTGTAATCTTCTAACATACTCTTTCATTATCTATGGTACAATGCAAATCTCGTGTCTCTGTTGAGTTGGCAAGAAGAGTCCACTTATCTACTGGATCCCACTTGTTTCTGTAACCCAACTTCACTTCAAATGTAAGTTTAGGATTTTGAGCTATAAAAATAAAACAATTTTGAAACAAGTAAATAAAGCAAACATTATTACTTATCATTATCACTAAATTTACAATCCTTTCATATATTTAGATAAGATTTAAAATTTATATCATTATTAGACATTATACGAGCATATACAGTACTACAGATACTTTAGAAAGGCTTAGAATATTAATTGACTGTAGTTCAGTGCTTAGATTAACATATTTAAACAAACATCTTTACTATATTAATTATATCAATTTTTTTCAGCTACTAACTTTACAATATATATATATATATTTACAAGGACCTTGAGGTAATCAAATACACTGATATCATAACATTAATATTCTAAATCACTGAAAGCACTGAAAATTACTTATTTTACTTTGTAGTTAACTCTCAGTTGGAGGGGCTGGCGTATGGTACAATCTTAGAGGGGCGGCATATGAAGTACTTGCGAATTTATGCCCGCTACGTTTAGCAGTGCAAAAAAATACTGCCGTTGTCCACCTCTTGGTTTTTCGGGCGACAGTGAAATTACTACAAAGTTAGTCTACGGTATCAACTCCTTACATTTGTTATAATCGAGAATTATTTGAGGTTTATTCGTTTCCTGGTCAATTTTGTCTTCACCGTGTAAAGTACTGAGCAGTATTACACACTTATTTTTTTTCGTTGAATATGAAACAATCGTCATATCCTTTTGAAAACCAAACAGTGAACTGCCGACTTCTCTGGTTTTTGATGGCTAGAATTCATCTGGAATTTTTTTTTTTTTTTTTTTTTCAGCGTGCCCACAAGTGTTATACCTTTGGTAAGAAGATATTGAGCTAGCAGATAGCTTGTATACCAATTATTGGTCGTCAGGTTACGGTTGGAACCTTCGTACGCACTAATTAGCCTTTTGAAAATGTCAATACTTTGAATTAGAAGCCTCTTAAGGTCCTGGGGTTTGATTGCCACAGTAAATTTCAAGCTTCAATGTATAAAACGTTCGTGAGTCAACAACTGCAAAAAATTTCAGACCATGCTTTGTGGGCTTGTTGGGTATGAATTGAATAAAAGAGCACCTCCCGCGAAAGGGTTCCAACTTCTCGTCGATTTTGAGTTCGTCACCTGGTGTATAAAAGTTTTGACAGTTCTGATTGAAAGATTCAAAAAATTCTCTTAGTGCAGGAAGCTTATCAGTTTTTCTTCACACATACCTTGTGCCTTTATCATCGAATCTAATAGCAACACACAGGTTTCTGAATCGCTTGAGACCCATGACTCCTTGCAAAATTTCAATTCCAGTACCATCTTTTGCCCATACTTCCTTTTAATTGAGTTTTGACATTTTTTTGCACCCTAATAAGAATGAAATTCCTAAAAAGGCCAATATTTCTGCTCTATTAGTATCATACATGCTTCTCTTTGAGATGTTTTGGAGATCATCTGCAGTCCTGTTACATTTGAGATAAATATTTGTATATTGTACGATAGCATCAATCATATTTATATTTATGATTTTCTGAAAAGCAGAAAGCTCATCATTCATATCGTCACACGTTTTGTCACTTGGGCATATTTTTTTCATCAAATTTTTTCGAGGCATTCCGGCAAATTTGCTCTTGAGGGGACTTTATTCCACTTATAAGTTTCCTTTTCTTCTTTCAGAAACTTTCCTCCAACTTTCTTCTTTTTGTAAATTGTTTTTACAAAAAGTCCTCATATTTTAAATCTCTCATGTCATTTTCAATATCACTAAAATCGTCATTTGCTGGGGAAACATCATTTGAGGAAGGAAAATGAGGATGTTTAGAAACATGTCCCTCAATTTCTGAGTCACTTTCATGATCAGAATGTTCGATGACTTCTGATTCATCGATATCAGATGCGTTATCCAAATTGTCGGAGTCTTCATCAACCAAGACTTCTTCTAAAACGCTCAAATAATCTTCAGGAGGTACAATATTCTTTCTGTACATACTTGGAGGAGCGGCGTACTGCATTCGCCTACGCGACATGTTCACAATAACTGCTTTCGGAAGGAAGGCGAAAACCAAACTGACCAAAAATACCAGGTGCATTGCACTCATGGAATGTTTCTAGGAGGGTAGAGGAAGGGAGGAAGTTTAGGAAGGAGTTATCTAAAAATTACAGCCCAAAAGATGGCATTGGCATACTCTGTACGCCGGCCCCTCCATTGCAGGGTTAAACTTGCATCCCTCCATTCACACTGGTGTTAATCTGAACTAACAGAGTTGGTTCCACGTATTGACTAGCTCTGCTGTACGTGAAGTTCAGATTTTCCAACTGAAGAAAAACCACTTCCCCCCCCCAACATGATACAGCAATGTCAGATGCTGCAGATGTCTCCATTAGATAAACCACAGTGTGAACAGCCCTGTACATTAACAGTGTGGAAACTAAATGTCTAAATAAATTAATAAACTCCAATAATCATTTGTGCTCCCCTGGTCAGTATGATACTGGTCAGTACTTAGCAAAAGTTCTTTATCAGATTCAAAATCCAAACTAGCTGTATTTCCGCCACCCCAAATTTTCATGTACAAAACATTTTAGGAACATTTTCTTAAGCAATAAAATAATATTAATGGAAAAAAGTATACAGACAAAATTTAATGGCAGAATTAAAACTTAGTTAATAATCTCTACATATAATAAAACAAAGAGTCTGTCTGTGTGAGTGGGTGTCTTTCATTCGCGTTGCGCGTAAGCTAATAGACCCACAACTACGAAATTTAATACATAGGTGCATCTAGACAACAGCCAGTGCACCTCGAAGCGATTTTTTCGAAATTCGAATTCGAATTTTTTTTATTTTATGTTTTGTGACGAAATCGCATCACTTTGAGACATAATGGGCTATAGGAAAGCGAGATTTTACTCTATGCACTCCATTTTCACATCGTCATGAAACGTAGGCACTTAGCTATTTTACGAACTTAAAATAAATTTCGTGTTTCAATAAATCGATTCAATATGAATTTATTTAACAAAGAGAGCTTAACACCTTTTCAACGCGATTTTTTCTAAAAACGTTTATGTTTAAAAACGTACAGTTTATTTTTCTTTGATTTTTTGGACACCTTAAACTTTCACCCTTGCGACTGCTTTTGCAAAAAGAATTTTGAAAAAATGATAATATTTTGTATTTAAAAAAAAAAAAAAATTAATGAAGCTTCCGAGTACACATCTCACATCTTTAAAAATATGATTTTGGCAACAATTTTCTTTTCTTATTGTTGATAGATTTTTGATGAAATCGCATTATTTTGAATAGTTTCATTCTTTTAGAAATATGGGTTTGGCAACAATTTTTCATCCTATTTCTTATGTTACTGTTTTTAAGAGATTGGCATATTTCATTGTCATTTTTTTATATATATAATACTTTTTTTTTTTGATAAAGTTGTTCTGCAGAATAAAATTCTGCGCGGAATTTTTTGTTTTGAGTTTCTTCCATGTTATTTTTTGCTTATTTCACTATTTGTAAGATATTGAAAAGTTTTGCTGATTTTTTTTCTTCAATGGAAAGTTGGTTAATTTTTTATTAGGATAATTAATATTTGTATTAAGGGATATAGCTTATTTCATTGTAAATTTTTTCTCTTGAAAAATAAGATAAAATATCATTAATTATACTTTGCTTTTCAGAATTTTTTGTTTTTTGTATTCTTTTATGTTATTTATTGCTCATTTCACAGTTTTTGAGATATTTAAAAGTTTTGAGTGAATTTTTTAGGAAACGAAGTTCTTAATCTCCTTTATACCATTTAAGTTCTGAAGATTTTGCAAAGGGAAGTTGGTTAATTTATTTATTAGGATAATCAATATTTGTATTAAGGGATATTGCTTATTTCATTGTAATTTTGTTATACATAATAACTTTGTTTTTATGAAGTTGTTCTGCAGAGTAAAATTCTATGCAGTTTTTAAATTTAACGTTTGGTGTTCCCTTCAGCAATTTTTTCGGTACATTTAAAAGCCAGATGAAGGCTGGCAGTGAAGCTGCTAGTAACAGATAAAAATACTGTGAAAGGAGAATAATGCAACCTCAAACCTTCCAAAACTGTTTAAAAAGAAGACTGTGTTACATACAGCAGGCCAAAGGAAAAGGTGATCATCTATTAAAATACAGCAGGACGAAGGAGGTGGTGATCACCAACTACGGAGAAACAGCCAAAAGATCACTCTGCAGTTCCTACATTTGGGCTGTCAAAAACATGAATCCTGTTCAAGTGAACACTGAAGTAACCATGTTCAACTACCAGTTACAATGCAATTACTGCAGTGTCTCATAGGTAATCTGATGATGTTTTTAACTAAAATATACAAAATGAAAAAAATTTAAAATCTACTAATTGGATGCTTCCTCTAATGAGATTGGTGACAGGGAAAGAGAAATACAAGATTCTCAGATCTTATCACCCTCCCCCACAGAATGCTTCTGATAAAACTGTCAAAGAACTGGATCATAGAAGTCATTCTATGAACAGCAATGCCCAAAGCTTCTAAGCAATGACCACTGCACTTTCTGACTTTCAGTGTCATATTCCAACAATAACTGTTGGAATAATTCTAATAATTAGCATTATTAATAATGCTAAAAATATTATTTGCATTATTAATAATTCTTAACATTATCAATAAACACAGCATTAGGCATTATGCATAAGCATGGATTAAATAATTATATATGCACCAATACAATGGGTGATTAAAAAATACCTGGCAAAAATGTAAAGGCAGGTAGAAAGGAACAAGCACATTTTATAACATAATGTGTATGCAAAAATCACATGCTAATGTGGTACGAAGGATTAGTGACAATGTACAAGAGCATTCTGCTGGCATAAATCCTCATTTTCCACATACTGGCACAAATCATCATTGCTCCATGAATGTGGAGGTTGCCCACATGCATTTTTGAAACTACAGCTAAAATGGAGCAGTTACTTAAAGGAGGAACAAAGAAAGTTCTCAGGTACTTTCTTTGAACAACCACTCTCAATCTGCATCCCCACAGATAAAATACATGCCAAAAAATTCCCAGTTTATGTAATAATGCATACAGAATGCTGGCATAAAAACTCTCATCTTTTATCACAATTAAATTTTTCCGTTCATGAATTTCAACAATCACACCAGAACCTCTGATAATACTAATTTTGTATACAACACATTCCTACACATAATTCACAGCAAACACTTGTCCAGTCCATGATATATTTTTCTGAAACTTTAATCTCAAAATAAATGAAATCTCAAGCCAATTCCATGCAGACATCTTTTAATGAAACTCCACAAACCTTCAACTGAGTCTGTGTGAGTCCTAAAAAAAGCGTGCTTAAATGTAACACTATGACTGACTGAACGTTGTATAAAACCTTCATTTTAGAACAGTTTTCGCAAGCGACAACACTAATATATATAGTTCTGACAAAAAATTTCTTGCATAGAAGAATTTCTGCAATACACAGCTATAAGAAATATACTAGAAGGGAATATTACCAACAATTTTATTTTTTGAAAAATACAACAACAGAAATTTTATAACACGAAATTTCCACAGGCTTCTAAATACACTTGGAATCAAGTAAATATTTACCAGTTATTATTAAAAAATATTTTATTACTAATTATGACATCCGAAAGATATGTTAAAAGGCCAAATAAAAATCATGTCATGTTCAAAATACAATATAGAAAAATTAACATTTATAAAAACTAAGACTTTTCTTTTAATTGTCCAGTGGTCTACATCAGGCATTTTTCTGTGAGGAATATTTACATCAGGGTTCATACACATTTCTGCACATAGAAATTAAGTACTTTTAAGGACATTAATGAAAAAAATTAAGGGCCCATCAACAACTGGGAATTGAATAAATCCAATTAAAGATATTAGCTATGCCTGAACTTCACTTTTATGATATCATCCTAAGAATAAAATAGATGCACAAGCAGAATGCATTATTATTAAGCATAATTATAAAACAAATTTATGAATAAAATCAACTTTATAAAATTTATCACGTAGCATTAAATATTTTACCCTTATAATAGTTAAATATTTGAAAGAAGATTAGTAACATTTTATTTGCATTTTAGTAACAGTTAGCTTTATGTTGATCTTTTCTTTTATGTTTGATTTTGTCCCATACTTGCCTACTTTAGAGGTTTAGTAAATAGCAGATAGATTTTGTGTGAAACGGCATAGGTTAAAATGAGAAGTAAAATCATAATCAGCATAATTCGTAACACCCGCTGCTGCTTTCCTAGAGAAAGGCCTG